CCCCCCCAAGTCGTAGCGCCCCTTTTTAAAACTTAATGTTTTATTAGGAAGAATTTTATAAAATAATCCTGTTTCATCTGCATTGTAAATATTTCGTGGCTCATAAGAAGAAATTAATTGTTTGACTTTTATACGCCATTCGTCCACTGTTTCCGTATCAACCGATTTACTCTCGCCGCAAACCACTTTAAAAGAAATATTGAAGCGTGATTTAAATTTATCAAGCTAACCATTTGACGCTTTAAAATTTTCACATTCAAATTCTTTACTTACTTGTAAAGCCTTTTCTTTAAGTATTGGTCCACTGATTGGAATATTTTTAGCACGGGCTGCACAAAACCATTCGTATACAACTTCGTTGATATTGCCTGATTCGGTTTTACGACGTTTTGTAGTTTTCATTTGATCATTACCGTGGGATTTCCATAATTTTAAAATCGTTTCTCTGTTTTTTATTAAGTCGGTGGCTTGAGTTCTTCCTATTCCAAATTTATCTGCAAGAGTACGTGCACTCACATTTTCTTTTTGGTAAAAATCTAACAATTTGATTTTTTCTGTTAAAGTTAGATGTTTTCGTTTGGACGCCATTGAAATTATAGGTACGTACTTCGAAACGTTTTAAACATACACTGAACACAAATGACAAAATACACAGTCACAGAGAATTGTTATCGCCTTATCGACATTATAAATTAAGCTCGTTAAGATAAACTGTCAAAAATAATTTCGAAATAATAATTTTCCATTTGATATATGTATGTATACTTTTAAATGTTGACCGTTAATTAGAGTGCCCGCTATTTAGAAGTATTAATGTATTTTTCCCATAACACTCGACGGGACCAAACAAATTGACCGTTACATAGAGGTGACCGTCCTTTAGAGGTGACCGTTAACGGAAGTTTCACTGTACTTCTTAGATCATAATTCAAATTGATAAAGATGTACTGATACACAAAATAACCAACCAGAGCGCTGAAATGTCATTGTTATGTAGTTATCAACTTATAGAATAAAGAAATATATTTTAAACATGCATATCGCATATTAWGATGRTTTCTTTTATCAATATGCAAAAAGTTTTAATGGTGGCATAGGAACCATTTTATTCATACATATTGTAAAACACTGAACATTACTCTTAAAACAAATAAATATAGTTGGWTTAAATATAAGTTTATTTAAAGATAATAACATATTCTCCCAAATTATTTATGAAGTTAAAGCAATCCTACACAATATATAATATACAAGATATATTATGTGAATATAAAAATAAGCTTTTACAAATACAATATAATTAATTGTTAGCTAGTTTATTCTTGTTTTACAATAGTTTAATTATATAAAAGAATTTCATCAAACATTCTTATAAAAAAAAAAAATATGAAATAAAAAATTAATCAATTTTATCTTAAATTATAAATTAATATGTTTAATATATTAAAATAAATAACGGTCAGACCACGGATTAGCTCTAAAATTTGGTGTCTTATTAACAACTACTCCATCACATAACAAAATATCACTTCCTGATAACGATTCCATTATCCAGGTATTGGTCTCTGGGTTGTAAATTTCCATAGATTGCAAAACACCGCAAGTATTTTTTCCACCCAAAACATACAACAAGCCATCAAATGTAAATACTCCTATAGTAAAAATTAAATTGAAATTGAAAACTTCTTAACAATTAATATTTTCTTAAAAAAAATTATTTTACCAGCAAAAGCTCGACGCTGGTGCATATCAGCAACAGGAGTCCAAATTTTTTCATTTGGATTATATGTTTCCACAGATCTCAAAGTATCCTTAATATTATGACCACCGATGACATACAATATGCCATTTAAGTCTATCACACTAGCACCAAGGCGACGTTTATACATAGAGGCAATTCGTGACCATGTGTCAAGAGTGGGATTATAACATTCAACGGTCTCTAAAACTGATCCAAGATAAAAACCTCCTACCTACACAATTGAATGAATTAAAATGTATTAATAATTTAAAATTTAAAATTAAAAAATTAAATATTTATTTACCGCATACAAAATGTTATTAAGTACTCCGACACCTAAGCCTTCTCTATAAGTTGACATACCAGATATCATTTGCCATTTTCTAGTAGTTACATCGTAAGCCTCCGCACTGCTTAAAAAACCAGTAGAATTACATCCACCAACCTAGAAATGTATACAATATATATCATATAATATGTATCTAATATATAATAACTTTTGAAAAGTAAAATATTGGCATAACTTACAACATATACACAATTATTTATTACACCAGCTCCAAAACGTTGTCGATTAACTAACATGTTAGTTGATATCCATCTGGGTGATTTTAAACTTATATCAAGCATTTGAACAGACTTACTGTAATTACTTAAAGCAAATATATATTGATTTCCCACAACAGCTAGAGCAGATGGCTTATGGCAATTATCTATTTGCGGTGCCATTTGCCATGCGTTGGTAGCTGGGTAATACCAGTTTAGTACAACTAAATTATGTCTAGT